GCTGATGTCTGTGTTACTGGCTTTGAGTCTCAGAAGGCAGCCAACATGGAGGGTGTTTCCCCATAATCGACCCTGGTTTTTGTTTGTTTGTTTTATCATAAGAAAAGTATTTTTGGATCAGTAACACTCTCACATTAACAGGTAGAATTCATATTAAAACTTTCCAAAATCATTTGTATGTTGGCTCAGAGGGGAAAATTTCAGAGGCTGAAATCTTTAAAACCTTAAGATAATAATTAAGACCTATAATTGATTAAAAACAAAGACTACTGATAGACTGTGTTTAAAAATTCCACCTTGCTGATTTCTGAATTATAAAGAAGGGTTGAGGTATTTATTGTAGTTTTAACTTATAAGTTGCATACACCCACTTTCTACATAAATACAAGAAAAGAACAAACTGAAATGTTAACCTCATTTTCCGATTATAACGCATCGTACTTAACATTGCATATCACTTTCCTCTTTTTCCTAAATATTTCCATGTACATTATCTCTTCCTGTGTCATAGCCATTTTGAGAATTTACAAACCACTTCTGGCTCCAGGGGTCAGTGAGGACGGAGAGGCTGCAGCTCGGGGGAGGGGATGGTTAGATGCTCGCTGTGGGTGAGAAAGCCCCTTTCCTGAGTGAGACACTGATTCAAGAAAGACCGAAGGAGCTTGTAAGGAAGGACCTCAGACTGTGCCGTCACGTCACTGCTGGTGTGTGCAGTGGAGGAGTATCCTGCTCTGAGAAAGACCTGGGTTTGTGCCTAGCATTGCTCTCACCAGTGTCCCTAATGAAGTCCGTCTAGCACAGTGGTTCTCAACCTTCTGGCCCTTTAAACACAGTTCCTCATGTTGGGACCCAACCATAAAGTTATTTTCGTTGCTACTTCATAACTGTCATGTTGCTACTGTGATGAATCGTCATGTAAATATCTGATATGCAGGATGGTCTTAGGCGACCCCTGTGAAAGGGTCCGTCCACCGCCAAAGGGGCCGCGACCCACAGGTTGAGAACCACTGGTCTAGCAGCAGGCCCGGCGGGGACTGAACAGTAAAGACGCTCTGTGCTTTGACAGTGTGTGGGACCAACACTGTTGTCACAAAACATTCCACAGTAAAAATAAACATTTGCACATCCACATACTACAGGCATATGGTAAAGCCTGCGGAATGTGAATCTGCCTGGAGACGAGGAAAATGTACTTGGAGGCTTAAGTTCTAGGCAAGGAGAACATGGGCGGGACTGGAGCGATGTCTTGTGATTTCCCGCCATCCCCACTCGTGCTGGCCTCCGGCAGCTCCGTGCACTGGGACAGGCTCCCGCCACGGACGCCTTGCGAGGCAGGAAGGCCAGCCCCTCTGCAGAGCTCCCTGGCCGTGGGAAGGTGCCTAATGACGTTATCCGAAAGCCACACCACAGCCAGGTCAGAGCAGACGTGGTCCGCGGGCCTCGTGATGAAGTCTGTACTCTTTCCTGAGGCTGTTCTCTCCATGTCCTTTTTCTCTGTCCAGACACCCGAATTCTCACTTTGGAAGCAGACCCCGAGGCCGGGAGAGGGGATGCCGAGTGTGGGCACGGTCCCGCCTCGGCTTCCAGTCTTACTAGATAGTGTCCAATTCCCGGAGCACCTTGCTCACGAAATCCGCTTTTTAGGATGTTTTAATCAGCTGTTAATTCTTATCCGGATGGTGCCAGGCTTCTTGGGCCTTTGTTGTCATGTGAGTGTTCATTCGTAGAAATGCTGAGTGCCCTCAGTGCGGTCACAGTTGGTGCCTCCAGGTCAGTAGGACCCTGCCTTGTGGACTCATGTCCGGTCAGGAGAGCAGAGGCAGACAGATGCTCCTCGCAATGGGCGGCTTTTACTCACTGTGTCACCAGGCACACAGGGCAGACAAAGCCTGCAGTGAGGGGCAGGCACCGGGTTGTCCTAGCACCTGGCACATGAACCCAGCCTGACCACTAGCGCTTTTTTTTCTCACCTGACGATATTTTTCTATTGATTTTAAGAGAGAGGGAAAGACAGAGAAACATCGGTGTGAGAGAAACAGGTGGATTGGTTGCCTCCTGCACGCACCCCAACCAGGGCCCGGGCCAGAGAGGAGCCTGCAACGAGGGACTTGCCCTTGACTGGAATCAAACCCAGGACCCTTCAGTTCACAGGCCAATGCTCTATCCACTGAGCCAAACTGACTCGGGTTGGCTTTTCATTCAGGTGCATGTGCCTACATTATGGCACCGTGAGAATGCTTTTCTGAAGCTTTAAAAACTAAGAAATAAAGTGATTGCAATAAGAAATAAAGTGATTGCATTAAGAATTATGATCTTCAGTACATTTTTCTAATTTTAAGGGAACAAATTGAGATATGCAAACATTAAACGTGAGTTTATTTAACAAAGCAAGGTAAGAAAACTTAAACTATGCATCGTCAAGCTAATTTTAGGCCTGTTTCCGGTCCAGATGACCCACTCCTTTCATTGCCCGGGTCCTGAGTGGCTACTCCCGGGGCAGAGAGAACGGGCCAGCACGGCAGTTCAGTCTCAGATTCTGGGTGTGCAGAGCTACTCGAGTGATTTCACATCGAAAAGATTGCTTTTATTTCTCTTATCCTGAATCGAATCTGAAACATTTTTAGTTTTTTTACAGATAAAATGCAAGAGGGAGGTTGGTTTTATGTTAATTGATTTAGGTAAGAATGCTTTTCCTCATGTCCTTATTTCAAATTATCTTTTATTTTAAAACACTGGATCCGTGTTTTTAGACTATTTCCCAAAAAGCGAAAGACTTCAACACTAGGATTTAGCACCCTCCGACACCTGCCCCGTTGATGACGGGGCTCCTGGGGTGCCATAGTGTGCGAAAGCGGCATCAAACGTTAGAGCTGCGTTGTTCCTTGTCAAGCACTCCTTGACTATAAGAACAGGAAAATACATTATAAAGACACAGAGTCTATCATGTGTGCTCCATAGCGCAGTGTGTACAAAGCTAACAGACATACTAGGAATGTGTGCATACAGTTTTCAGCACTTCTCTAAAGTAATTTTAAGTGGCTGGCCGTTAGCTTCAGCATCAATGTAAATTCTAAAAGATCACTGTGTTTTATCCTGCCACTCCACATTTTTTATTTGCATCAACTCTGTCACCCACTTCTGTATATTTGATGTAAAGATTTTGTGCCTCAATAATTCTAAAGCTGGAGGCTTAAAATTTCAGTGAAAACAGCTTGTTAATTAAAGGAAAAGCTGCCACTCAGCAGCTCTGTTGGTTTCCTTCTCCAACATCCTTGCTCAGGTCCTACTTTTATTGGGGGCCATGTTACTAAACAGTCACATCAAACCTCAATGGCAATCATGTTATTCAACCCCCCAAATTTCAGCAATGTGTTTGAAATTATGTTAGGCTAAGTTTCATGCAGAAGTTAAGAAAATCCCCATCTAAACAATGACTCTAGGTTGCAAATGATAACCTAGTAAACAAACATGAATAAATGAAGTCGGTTACTGTTCCAAGGAGATCTTTATACGGAAATTCGAAGCGATTCTGTACAGCAACCCCCAGAGTTGCAAATGTTACAAGTACATGAATATTGTTACAAATAGAGAGACATAAAAGGAAGGGAACTGTTGGGCTGTTTAGGACTGAAAGTGTCCCTTTCCCGGGTCATGCATCAGATGGTGGCTTCAGGTGTGCAGAAATGGCAGCTTTTGACATTTCAGTGTCAAGTATAGTTGGAAAAATAATAGACCGAGAATTAGAGCATCAGCCTGAACCATGTGGGCATTAAGCACATGTGTGTAAAAGTAAGCAGATATTTGCCTGTAGATAGCCCAGGAGTATGAAAAAGCACGTGTCCGTGATGAAGGCCTGGTTACCTAAGGAAGCTAACAGCCCTTCACCAGGCGGAGAAGTTCACCCATCTTCAGCGGGGAAGCGGTCACCGCGGGGCATGCTGGGGCCTCAGCCAGGAGCCTGTAAAGCTCTCGGACAGGCCTGGGGCCCTCACCCTGGTCCTGTGATCTGTGACCTACCTCTTATTTCCCACAAGTTCCACGTGTTTGCTCTTCCTCCATATGACTTAGAGTTTTAATGAAGACACACATTAGCCATTCTTATTTTGACAAGGAAAGTGGAGCTCATGTTTTTGGGACTCTATAAATACATGTGAAATTTAAATTCATTGTGATCGTTCTGTGAGTTAACACCCTCTTATTTTTAAAAATGACGATGGTGTCATTGGAATCTTGCCTTCTGGGATTCAACGCTTATATCAGTAAAGTAAAAGAGGTTTTTTTAAGTATATAAAGGGGGAGGGTTCGGGCCTTTATTTAAAATCAAAGTAAATTCTTCATTAAGAAATGTATAGTTTGTGCCTGAACTAGTAGCCTTCATTCCTAGTTGTTGTGTGATAGCAGTAGTTTTTAAAATGTATTCTCTTTTTGTACCTGGTAGCTCATTACTTTTTCTCACCTTCTTCCCTGACCCTCTGTCCACCCTTTCCCCTTCCCAATGCTCCTTCTGGCCCCAGAAGTCCAGCTCATCCACCACCACCGGGGAGAAGATCACAAAGGTGTATGAGCTGGGGAGCGAGCCAGAGAGGAAGCTGTGGGTCGACCGCTACCTGACCTTCATGGAGGAGAGAGGGTCCCCTGTCTCCAGCCTGCCCGCCGTGGGCAAGAAGCCACTGGACCTGTTCCGGCTCTATGTCTGCGTCAAAGAGATCGGAGGTTTGGCCCAGGTGAATTGAATGAATGAATGAGTGAAGGAGCGAAGAGGCAGGCATTCTGGATAAGCTCTCACAGCAACCTCCTCTGACTATATAGACTTGGGTTTTCTCACGGGGAAAAAGCTACGCCTGTGAGAAAGTCACCCTCATGGGGACCCGTGCAGGGAGAGCATCGGGACTGGGGACCCTGGCTTCACAGCCAGCTGGGATTGTGACCCTCCCCCTCCCCAGGCATTTATATGGACCTTGGTCCTTACCTGTAAAGTGAGACATTTGGGCTAGATTTTTCTTTAGGATCCCTGACAGCCATGGAGTTCTGTGGGATCTGCCAGGATTTCATAGTAAATATTCCAGAAAAGTCTTGCGAATGACCAAATGAATTGTCTGAATCGGGTATAAATCAAGTTCACTGTTTCAGTTGTCCAGAGCAATTTATCACGGACATGAAGCCATAAAACCATGTCCCTGTCACTGGTCCCCTGGCTGGGACTGGAGGGAGCAGGTGGTTCCGGGGGCGGAGCTTCAGGAGGTGCTTGTTTTCAGGGATGCAGGTGCCTGCTGGGGCTGCCCTCTTCAGGGCTCCCTGCCTGCTGGGTGCAGGCCTCAGGCTGGAGGTTGCCTTTGTCCTAAATCCCTGTCAATGCAGAGGTCACCAGTCCCAAAGGAGACTTGAGGAAACGAACAAAGTGAAGTGGGGTGGTGGTGTGGCCCTGGACTCTGAGGGCAGGTGCTCCCCATCACCAGTGGCTCGCAGGCCTAGCTCTGCATTAAGTCACCTGGGCCCCACCCAGAGCAGTGAAGGGAGCGCCTGTGGGCCCGGTGGTCGACACAGGTGGCACAGGTCACAAACTATCCAAGGGCACGTCATCTAACCCACGAGTCTCACCTGGTCCCAGTACTGCA